TGGTTCTCATTTGGTTCAGTAGGTCGATCATCACGGCTAACCTCCTCTCGTACTCCATCACCTCCTCCTCAGAGCTGCTCAACAGCTGCTTCTGCAGCTCCTGGTCCTTCTGCATCCCGCTCAGACCCTCCTCCAGCTCCTTCAGCGTCTCCATCAGCAGGCTCGTCTTCCCTGTGGAGGCTCCACCCTGTGCCGTGAGACCCTCCGACCGCAGCTGCGCGCTGAGGCCCATGGCTTCTCCTGCGTGTGCCTCAGCACGGAGCTCTTTGGTTTGCGTCTGGATGGCTTCCAGTTGTGCTTGACTGACCAGAACAGCAGCCACGTTCTCCCTGAGTTTCTCCTCCAGCTGAGCCACTTCAGCATACAGAGCGTCGGCGTACCTTTGCACTTGTTCCACCTTCAACCTGCATTAGTGTGAATTTTTGTAATTTAGTCTTAGTCCTGTTTGTGGGTTAGTCAAGTTTTAGTTGACAAAGTCTGGGAATTTTAGTCTCGTTTTAGTCCATTAAAACTAAGACACATTTTAGCCATGCTGCATAATGGTTAAACTGATTGTAAATTGCAATTATTGATCACTGTTGTCATTTATTTGACTGAGGGATTTATACTCTTGAAATTTGGCAAATGCAAGCATGGAACCTCACTGAGGTTTATTTTTTTCTCGAAGAAAATATACAGAGACATTTTGGATATAAACAGTTTTTATTTTTTCTCGTCTTTTTTTGTCAATGATATTGCATCTCAATTAGGGCTGCAAGGATACCATTTTTTCAGATCCGATCCCAGTGCTTTTTTTTTAATCAATGTAGAATTTCTATACTTCTGTGTGTTGACCTGATCATCACTCTTTTGCGTGTTAAACACAATCTACTAAATATAGACAACTTCATTGTAATGAAAAACAACATGAAAAAATATATCTATGACAAAAATACTATTATAAACTAGGTTAGTGGATAATTCAGCAGCAAAATTTATTCTAGAAAAATCATGAGTGCACAATTTTATGAAATCTAAACATTTAGTGAAACAACATTATTTAGTGGGGAACAAATAAAAGTGAATAAGTGTAGGACTAAATCTGGTAAAATGTTACACATTTTTTTCTCAACTTTTTTTTTTTTTTAAGAGAAATAGAGAAATATTGGAATTTTGAATTTGTTTTATTTTATCTGGTATGTTGATATAGTCACAGCTAGCATTTAATAATGTCAGTGTCATTTTGTCTTCGTCATGGGAAAAAAAGGTTGCTTTCTGTAATAAAATTAACACTAAGTAGGGGGATTTACACTTTTGTAATCTTGTAACTGCAAGCACAAAAACTGCTGGAGGTCTATTTTTTTCTCCTCTGTTTTTGTTGAAGAATATATATAGAAATTTTGGATATAGAGTTTATTTTTAAAACAACATTTTAGTTGCATCTCTTATCATCAACAATATTACATATTGATATAGTGACAGTTAGTGTTTAATGACGTCTGTATCGCCTTGGAAAAAAAAACAGTCGTCAACAAATATTTTTCACCATAGTTTTAGTCAGTGAATTAACACTAAATAAGGGGATTTAAATGCTTACATCTGGCAACCCCAAGCATGAAAACTGCTGGAGGTCTATATTTTTCCCCTATTTTATATTGAAGAATATATACAGAGACATTTTGTATAAAGAGAGATTTTATTTTTTAAACTACATTTTAGTTGCACATTTTATCATCAACAACACTGCTTATTGATATAGTCAGAGTTAATGATGTCAGAGTCATCTCGTCTTAGTCATGGAAAAAAAGCCGTCAAGGTATATTTTTCATCATTGTTTTCGTTAATTAAATTAACACTAAATAGGGGAATTTACACTCTTGACATCTGGCAACCCAAGCATGAAAACTCGCAGAGATCGAGATTTTTTTAACTGAGTTTTTTCTTTTTCATTTTTAGTCTAGACTTTTTTCATCAGTGATACTGCAAGTTGATATAGTCACAGTTAAAGTTTAATAATGTCTGTGTCACCTCGTTTTCATCTCGTTTTAGTCATAAAAAGGGCGTCAACTAATATTTTTCATCACGGTTTTAAACTCTTAATATCTGGCAACCCCAAGCATGAAGACTCACAGAGATCGTGATATTCTTGAATTTAGATTTTTTTTAATTTAAAGTTTTTAAAAAAATTTTAAACTACATTTTAGTGTTTTCTCAGCAATAATATTGCATGTTGATATAGCCACAGTGTCAATCTCAATTTACTCACTAAATAGGGGGATTTACACTCTGGACATCTGGCAACCCAAGCATGAAAACGAGGAATATTTCTCAGCATGGTTTAGGTTGCTGTAATGAACACTAACCTGCACGCGCGCACCTCCGAGTCCTTCTCCTCCACGCTGGTCTCCAGCTCCTCCACCCGCCGACTCAAGCTCGTGACCCGTGACCCTGCGGTCTCCTCCAGCGCCTGCACCTGGGCCTGCAGCACCACGAGCGCAGCCGTCTTCTCCCGCAGAGCCTCCTCCATCCTCTGCTTCATCTCGTCGCTCTCGTCCTGCGGCTGCTTGTGCTCGATGAGCGACAGCTCCTGCTGGAGCTTCTCGATGACGGCGTTGAGCTGCTCCACCTCCTCCTCGCTGTTCCTCCTCAGACGCTCCTGCTCGCTCCGCAGACACTCCACCTGCGCCTCCAGCTCACGCAGAACCTCATCCTTCTCCTCCACCTGCGCCTGCACACCAACACACCAGCTCAGAGACGAGTCGCCTCTCGTTCCCTTTGGGTTTAATCTCAGAGTATTCTTCAATCGTTCACCCGAGAACGAAAATCATTTAGCAAGTCGTTCCAACCCAGTATTATTTTATAAAGATGATATTTTCTCAAATGTCTGAGCTGCTGTTTCTCATACAATTAAAGCTGGTGGCTTTATTTTATCACTTTATACTGACAAGATTCAAAAAGTAAACCAAAAAGCAATGTTAAACGTAGTGACGCACCAAACCTTTTTACTAAAATTCAGACTCATTCCAATTTATCTATTTGATTTTTTTCAGGATTCCTTTTTAATGGCTAAATTACATTTTAGTAATCAAAAAGCAATTGAATTCATGAAACTTTACAATTTAACAACAATTTGTTAAAAACTATTAAAATTTTTAGAGCCCTACTCAAATATTTTAATATCATTTTTTTTTAAATTCCCAAAATTCTCTTTTGTTTTTATTTTATGACTCTTTCTTTTTCTCCCCAAAATAATTTTAGTAATCAAAAAGCAATTGAATTCATGAAACTTTACAATTTAACAACAATTTGTTAAAAACTATTAAAATTTTTAGAGCCCTACTCAAATATTTTAATATCATTTTTTTTTTAATTCCCAAAATTCTCTTTTGTTTTTATTTTATGACTCTTTCTTTTTCTCCCCAAAATTCCATTATATTTATCCCAAATTCTTTTTTACATTTGAATGTTTCTGGATTCTTTTTTAATAGTTTAATTACATTTTAATGATTAAAAAGCATGTCTAATAAATGTCATATATTGATATTAATAATGTATTAATAATAATAAACCAGTTATTGTAAAAAAAAGAAATACATTATTAAATTGTCCTATGAAGTGTTTTTTTTCCCAGAAATTTTGAACAATTAAATTAACCCTTTAAACTGTAATCAAAATAAAATTTTACTACTAAACAAAAAAGGTACTAAACAAAAGGAGGTTTATGGTTAAAATTTAAACATGGAAGAAAAATATGGTGAATATTCTTTTTGGTTGCTGAAATATTGATGCCTCACTTATTAAATATTCCATATATATATATATATATATATGCATACCATTCCTCTGAATAACTGAAGAGTCCATTGATCACATGACTTCAGGAGGAATATAGAGCACGAGTCATATGAATTATTATGGTATCAGCAGTATAAAACAATAAACACTTTCATCATAGGAAAAACAAGCTGAGACATTCTTTGCATTTCACTAAAAAATAAAATAATGTAAGGTTGGAACAACATGAACGTGAGGAAATGATGACAAAATATCTATTTTTGACGACGCATTCCTTTAAAATACTGAACAGATTTTTGGTTAAAATCACAAAAGACTAAGATTTAGGAATCCGAGGCACTTTCATTGAGCTGCGAAAACACCCTCTGACTCAGTGTTGCAAGGAATATGTTATGCAAATATAAATATTCTGTCATCATCAACCCGTATGACTTTTTCAGGGAACAAAACGAAGATGCATTAGACAATAAACTGGCTACTCTCTTTCATACAGTGACCCGGAGTTACAGAAGACATGAAATATAGAGCATGACAGGGTTATTATAATTAAATACAACTAAAACCTAAATATTTATAAATAAATTGTTACTTTAAAATAAATGCTAATTTACATAAACTAATGTTTATATATATATATATATATATATATAAATAAATAATGTCACTTTTTTTAAAGCTAAATTTTTAAAGCAACATTTCTCATTTTAGTTTAGTTTAATTTGATGCACTAAAATAAACTAAACCTGAAATAAAATTAAAAATAAATAAATAAATACACTTTGAAATATACAGCACCACGGCAGGGTTATTATAGTCAACTAAACCCTTAAAAAATGGTTACTTTGTTACCTAAAATAAATGTTAAAATAAAACAAAAATATAAAAAATTATTTTATTTAAGCTGATTTCCAAGGCAACAATTTCTCGTTTTCCTTTAGTTTAACTTGACGTACTATAATAAATAAAAATGAATAAAACCTATATAGACATTTAAAAAATAAATAGACTAATAAAATGACAAAAGCACACAAATTTACTGTAACTAAAATTAAAATTGAAACTATAAAAATAAATACAGAATATTTAAAAAAGATATATAAATGATACTAGTGTAACACTGATGCATGAGTTATATGGACTATTTTTATAATAATATTATAGCACTTTCATGTCATTTCACTTCCACTGTGTGGAAAAGAGCAGCGTGAACATCCTGCTAAACATCT